ACTTATGGTGAGCTACCTGGATAGTTTGTAGCTTGAAATGGTTGGTTTTTCACTATGAACTTTGACTGCAACCAATATCTATCTTAGAGAAAAAAAATCAATAAATTATTTACCCGTGTAGTTATCAGCTGTTAGGCATCGATAATATAAGTCAATATATCACGGATACATCCACTAAAAATTGATTACAAGCATTCAATCTCTTGTATGCATGCAAAACATCTATAATACAGGATTAGTAAAAATTATTAATTTAAAAATGGAGACTAGGGATCGTCAAGAAAGCACAGAAACAAATTGAATCAAAATGCAAATATTATGTTTTCAAGCTCACAACTAGAGATTCTAAAAAGTAAACAAACTAGATCGGAAATAGTGTCTACATTATTTTCTTAAGCTAATCCCTATTTTGACTCCATGTATTCAGTAACTATCAGACCTCAGGATATTTTTGTCAGTTTTGATGTCAAAGACCTATTCACCAATATCCCTTCATATCACCAGACAACGAATGCTGAATGACAACTCTCTGTCACACAGGACGGACATTAAGATATATGTCATCATGGAACTAACGACCACTTGCCTACTTCCAATACAATGATGAATTCTACGAACAAAAGGACGGTCTACCCATGAAACTACCACTCTCTCCAGTCTTAGCAGATATTTTCATGGAAGCCTTAAAGAAAAAGCTCTCTCATCCACACACATATAAAAACAAGTTTTTACAGACGTTATGTTGACAACAGTTTAGTTATCTAGCTCCACGGTCAGGAAAACTTATCAGCCTTCCTAGAACATCTCAATTCTATAGACCACAGAATCCACTTCACCATGGAAATAGAGCAAGAAAACAGCCTATCGTTTCTTTACATACTCATCAGCAAACAAGAGAGGGAAATCATCACAACTATGTACAGAAAACCCACCCACACGTCATCTAACCTCGGTAAAACGTGGCAGAATTCAATGCCTAAACAATAGGGCAGAAACCATTTGCGATGAGACATCCATTAATACAGAATGCCAAAAGATCATAGAGTGTTTTAAACAGAACGGTTACACCTCTACCTTCATCAAAAACTCCATGAAGAATACCACAACAAAAAGAAGACATAAGAAGAACACTACTAACACCATTTACCTCCCCTATGTGCACAATTTCAGTGAAAAACTCAAAGGCATAGCCAAGAAGTTCAATATAGATATCAGGTAGAAATCTTACAAGACAATAAGATCCATTTATGTGGAAACCAAATAGAAACCTACTAATGAAAAACACAAAAACTTCACCTATTAAATTCCATGTTCCTGCAACGAAACATACACTGGAGAAACATAAAGACAACACAAGACTCGTGAAACTACAAAATTCAGCCATTACAGAATACACCCTACCATCCGGGCACAAAATAAACTTGTATAAAACTAGAATCGTACACACAGACAAAATTTGGAAAACAAGAAAAAATAAAGAATCCTTCTACATTAACACACTAAAACCTTCACTAAACAGAATTAGAGTTGAGTAATCAGTTAGCACCCATCAGAGTTATACAGAGTTACAACTGTGAGAAGTTCGGCCGCGCCCGTGCAGCATGCACAGTGTCTCCAAGATGCGGCCCAAAGATAGAGAAGGAACGTGCTGTGCCAACCGTGGTGGATCTCACGACGCGTTATATAGAGGCTGCCCCAAGTAATAACATTAAAGAAGAACAAGTTAATACAACTAAGACGTCTTCCTGCACAGCAGCAAACCACAGCAACACCACCCATCAGAAACAACAAGACGCAAGCAGCAATCAACCTACTCAACAGCCTACCCAGCCCGCAACAACCACAATGAAAACATCTCAACCAGCCATACCAAGTGAATTTTATACAGGATGGTCACACAGCGGGCTGTTGTGTCTTGTACACGTGACGCATTGCCATAGGCTAGATACACAATTCTGTCCGAATCCCTCGTATGTTCGAGCCTGGGTCATGTTACTCAACTGTCTGCCTTTTCAGGCGACACTGCTCTTCTGAATCTTTTCCAATATGTCAGTATCCTTCCTTAGATAAAGAGATCAAAACTGTACATAGAATTCTAAAGTAAGGCTTAACTAGTGATTTATACAGAGTCAGTATCCTTTCTTAGATAAATAGATCAAAACTGTACACAGAATTTTAAAGCAAGGCTTAACTAGTGATTTATACAGAGTCAATATCCTTTCTTAGATAAATAGATCAAACTGTACACAGAATTCTAAAGTAAGGCTTAACTAGTGATTTATACAGAGTCAGTATCCCTTCTTAGATAAAGAGATCAAAACTGTACACAGAATTCTAAAGTAAGGCTTAACTAGTGATTTATACAGATATAATTACCACTTTTGACTTGAAAACAATATGTCTATAAATACAACCTTAAAGGTAATTTTCGTAATATTTGTTCAACGTACTAATTAGTATTGTATTTCTTGTACTTAGTAAACAGTCTTAAATTTATATATGCCAGCGTTAGATAGTGGCTATTGCGTGACTAGAACTTTTTGTTCAAACCTGCCTGTCTATTCAGCTTGTTTGATAAACCTGTCTTTTACGAAACATACCACGTTCATCATATTCAGCTTGTTTGATAAACCTGTCTTTTACGAAACATACCACGTTCATCATATTCAGCTTGTTTGATAAACCTGTCTTCTTCGAAACATTCCACGTTCATCATATTCAGCTTGTTTGATAAACCTGTCTTCTACGAAACATTCCACGTTCATCATATTCAGCTTGTTTGATAAACCTGTCTTTTACTAAACATACCACGTTCATCATATTCAGCTTGTTTGATAAACCTGTCTTTTACGAAACATACGACGTTCATCATATTCAGCTTGTTTGATAAACCTGTCTTCTTCGAAACATTCCACGTTCATCATATTCAGCTTGTTTGATAACCCTGTCTTCTATGAAACATACCAAGTTCATCATATTCATCTTATTTGATAAACTTGTCTTCTTCGAAACATACCACGTTCATCAGTGTTTCATGCATAATTACAAAAACAATTTGAAATAAAAACATCAAAATTGCCACCATCAAAACTTGAATAATGTTTAGTTTTTCTGTAATCGCCAAATGGACATTAGGCTTAGCATACCCACTATTCTATGATTTAATTATTACTTTGTAAGTATTTCAATCAGTCAATAATAAACTTACAATCTTTCATTTGTGATTTAAGTTACAGTAAAAAAATATGTTAGTGTTATAAAATTTGAAGTTGAGCTTAAATAACAAAAATAAAACCTAATATCAGCTAATAGATACTCCCTCTATTAGAATGTTTTGCCAAGTTTCTATCTAACTAGAATTTCTTGTGTAAACTCTGTAGTTCCTCTAGAATAAAAGATTAGCTGGTGTACACACCTGACGTGACGTCATATGTTGACTAGCCATGTTGTTCAAATCCACACATTTGTAAAAGCTCCATATATTAGAATATTCACAATAAAATGATAATGCAGTATACAATGTAGTTTCATGAGCCCTACGTAGGCAAAGATATAACTTGTTTACAAGACAATGTATAAAAGCAAGAACCTCCGACTTTCAAAGGGGTGTGATAGTGAGAGGCCCATCTTGAAGAAATGTTACTATCAAAGACCGTTTACTTAAACATTCTTTAAAACCACCTCTCATCAAAGTATACAGTCATTTTGAATTGAGAGAGATTTCGTCTACTATAAGGAAAAAAATGAGACCCCCAATCGCCGCTGGTTAGTAACCATAGCAAGGAATGATTCGACAACGACAATAGACGAATGACTGTGACGGTCTTGAGAGATTCTTTCTACGGTGTTGTAGATTTGACTATGTTCAGCTGTACTATCAGAAGGACAGTGCAAGTACCGCCACGTGACAGTGACAGTAAGTGTGAAGGTGTGTTATATGGTCTTAGGCACATTTAATATTTTCTGTTCTAGCGTAAGAACTAAATTATTCAAACGAGAAAAACACACAAACACCTGCTATGCTTTTGTTAAAGCTAAAATTCCGGAACCTTTTAAAATCTGGATTTAAATACACAATTTAAAATATTCATTCTGAGACCGTCATCGGTCTCAAAAAATACTATATTTTTCGAAATTTAATTGAAGTAATTTTTCTTTTAATTTGTACTTTTTGCTTGCAAATGTCCATAAAAATTCCCGAGGGGGTATTATAATGTAAAGGACAATCCAATTATGTTTTGATAAGAATAGTAGCCAAAGAGTTGGCGGGAGGTGCTGCCACTCCGCTGCCTTCCCTTTGACAGGCAGATAAAAATGAAGAACAGTGAAAAATAACCTTAATAACTTTGCCATAAACAAAACAAACAAAACTAAATGAATATATTCCAGAAAATAAACCAAACCGGTCATTAAATTTCCAGTTTACCGAAACAAGACCCTTCGCTAAGTGCCCGGC